GGGCGTAAGCTTGGTTAAGTATGGCTGAACGACCTCGTTCAGGTATTCTTGCTCGATACTAGCGATCTGCAGCCGTGCCCAGGCTGAATACAACGCCATTTTAACCATGACCCTGGCATTGGAATTGAGCCCCTTCAGTTCGCCGATTTCGGTCGTATCCAAATTATCTTGGTTTCATTAGCGAACACCGACGCAAAAGCTTGATGAGCACACTCACTAGAGAAATTCTCAAGGCCGAGGACCAGGAGTTTAAGAATCCTGCCCATTCGCTCTACATTCGTCACAATGCCCGTCGCAATGAATGTTGCTGAGACGTTGATGGCCTCAGACGCAAGTTCGGCGGACGAGTCAGCAGCAAATGCCGGGGTCAGAGCCGATCCAATCTGAGCCTGATATTGCTCGAGCAGAGACGCCTCCGTGAAGTCCGGGTCTGGAGTCTTTCCAAACATCTGGTGCCGTATGTCAGTAAGATCTTTCCGAAGACGGGAACAAGCAGGAATCATACTCTTAGAACCTGGTCGATAATCTTCAGTCCCCAGATGCGGAGCTCTATCACATTTGCTGTAGAGGCCGAGAACGCCATCCTGACAATGTCTCCGACCTTTTGTTGTAAAGCAAGTTCAGCGGGAATGACTTGATCAGGCAGAATCGCTTCCTGTACGATACACAGGAGTTCACTCAGACAACTCATAACAAAGTTCCGCGTTTGCCATTTTAGCAGTTCCTGTCCGGATACTGCGTCATGGGCTCCGTCAGACTGTCCGGCTCCAGCAATTGCGGACGCAAAACCTGCAACCTCGTCATCCGGCATATCGTTGGCCGATGGCTTCACAGCAGATGTAAGAGGCGGTTCTTCCGCTTTGACGCGCGTCTTGGTCAAGGTATTGTGGCAGCGCTGGATCCAAAGCTCCGTCTCTTCGAGCGCTGTCTGCTGCATCCAATCTTGGATCATGCCTTTCAGAATTGGATTGTCAGGCGTATCGTCAAACGCAAGCCAAATTTCCTCTTCAAGCGCCGGAGTGGCGGTGCGGATAACAGAAGCGGCATCTCTTTTCATCAGATTGCTGAGACCTCGGATAGCCACATCCCTCATGAGAGGATTATTAGCAGAAAGCTCAACCTGCAACCGTTTGACATATCCAGAGAAGTCGACGTATGCCGGCGCATACAGTGAGAGATGATCCAGGCACTTCGAACTCTCTGTGACCAGGGCCGAGTTGTCCTCCAGCTGGAATTGCCTGAGCAGGGTGAGGATGAGGTTTCGCGTCTTCGCAATGTCTTGGAGGTCAGGTCCCAGCACATTAATTAACGAGTCAACACAGCGACTGATGAGCACAGGAGTAAGGAAGGTCATCTCAATATTGGATGTAGCCAAGGTCGCGGCCTCCTCATTGTGGGTATCCGCGTTGTACAACTGAGCGAGCATTCCGAGAGAACTCGAGACGAAAGGCGAAAAGGTCAACCCCGCGGAGTTCGCAACTCGTTCTAAACCACCCAGAGCCCAGAAGTGGACCACTGGGTGAGGGTCGTTACATAAAGACATTAAGACGCCAACGATGGTTTTGAGATGCAGACCAGCTGCCATGCCGCCGACTTGGGAATGAATGCAACCTAGAGCAGCAGCGCAACCAGCACGGGCATTAGGCTCTCTATTTTCAACAATCTTATCCACAAGCCAATTAATTTGTGTATTTGTGAAGGTGTTGCCGGAGCTCTCGCACAGCCGCCCAAGCGCCTCGGCGCCGACTGTGCGGACGATTAGGTCGGGATCGGTGACGAATTTCTGTCATCGTTAATCTTTCCGTCTTATCTGCAAAAGTTACATACACTATTGTCTCACCTGAACAAGCTCCTGTAGGACTTTATCAGTGGCGGGGTTGAGCCTCCCAGCTCCGGGGCCAATCTCCTTGACCGATACTTTGAGTGCATGAAGAAGCGCCACAGCAACGTTGACTATCATAGCAGCCTTGCGACCAGGGTTTCGCTGGAGGCTGGGCGATGCGAGATATGTTGCAATCTGCTCTACACTGCTTTCCTGAACCTTGGGGGCGTGCAGTGAAATAGCCACGGAAAAGAGATCGATGGCCGCATTCACGACACCAGTTGCGTGCGGATCAGCCACAAGACAATCTCCTTGTCTCGATGAATAGAGTAGGACCGAGTCGTGTTCGCTTGCAGGAAAGATTGGGAATGTCAACTGTTCATGTCAGTACGAAGTCAGAAGCAGTTACGTATGTCTTCAACTTACAGCGTCATCGATACTTTGATCTACCGAATCGACTGCAGACCATGATGGCCCATTCTCATTGTCATTCTTGCCATTAAGCGCCGCGCGAACATACTCACGGGTGATACCCGTCACCCCGAACCCGTAATTATCGCAGAGATCCCATAAGGTGTCAAATTGCGCGGTTGAGGCTGCAATCGAGCTTTCCAGGGGACCTGCCTGGGCAGCATCGGGATCTGCGAAGGAGGAAATTGCCAGACTCAAGAGGCTAGATTGAGAGATGACGTCGCCACGACTCAAGGGATGGACGTGAAGTAGCTTGGAGAAACACTGAAGAACACGTCGTCGGACCATTGTTTCGATATCGTGCAACTGTAACGATGGGTGAAGCCGCTGTGATGAATCATTTACTGACTTTTGCCGCGGGAGATCCTCAAGAAAGTCAACTGTATTCTGAAGCATGGCTGCAATTCTCTTCGCACCGTCCGCTGTGATCAATTTGCTATTGAACTCCATGAAGACCAGTAGTGCGCCTAGAGCACATTCCCTGACATGCGCAAGAAAGCTCATCTCCAATACTCCACGCTGAGCCGAGTTTTCCTTACTCAGATGAAGTGGAAGTGCATTCTTCCAAAGCAACATCAACTGCGATAGATGTATTTTGACAAAGCTCGGCCCGAGGGGCATTAAACCTCCGATCAGGATCCAAGCGACTTGTATTTGCGTACAGGCGGCACGTAGCTCGGAGTTGCTGCTGATTTTCAGGAGATCGGTTGCTTGAGTAAATACACGGGAAAACACATCAACAGACCCGTACAGAGGTTGCAGCCGAGATGTACTGAGCATGGCCGAAAGACCATTGGCATAACCAACACAGCGACGCGGCGACTGTCGAGGAGTGCCCAATTGGCCAACTTCTCTGTTCAAAGTATTCAGGCAGATGGTGACACAAGACAGCAATTGATGCGGGCAGGCGAGAACGAAATTGCGCAAACAATGCGCTGCATGTATTTGGACGGTGTAGCTGGGGTGAGACAGAACCTGCAGCAAAGCCTCACGACAAGGTTCAGCAAGAGTAGCAAATGCAGAACCAAGGGATACAATCAGGGAAGACAGTGCGCTCAAAGCGCTCGTCAAAGAGTGCTTGCTTGGCTCCCGCCGCTCCTGGACCACCTGAGGATAATCTTTGAGCACATCGTTGATCAACCATTTAGCCGCATTCAGTTGGCTAGTCTCTCGGAGCGATTCACGACCGACTGTATCTTCTAGAATGCTCTTGACAAACTTCCTTGTCATCAAAAGCCGGAACCGGTTGTACATTACCGTAGGATGGTTCAATAGATCGAACAGGAGGTGAGTCGCGATCTGGCCGTAGCGATCTTCAATGGTCTTGTCACCTAGAATCCGCAAGACGTGCTTGTAGCATACAGCGATGCCTGCGCGAGCTCGATTAGACGTCGCACTCTTGAGGTATTGTGTAGAAAGTTGGCGAAGGAGGTCTGGAAGGAGAAAGAACAGACGTGGTTCTGCTTTCTTGGTAGTTGACGACTCTGAAACCTCGGCCTCCTCCTCGTCTTCCGTCGGTTTCGCTGTTGGTTTTCGTGACAGTCTTTTGGATTTCTTGGGCTTCGGCACAGAAGCGATTCGAGTGTCCGAAGCATGCAGTTTGGCTAGCGCGCGGGCGAGACAGGCTGCAGCGGCGTGTCGAACGGGAGCCACAGGACTGTCAATTGCCTTCCAAACCACGGCCTTTAGGTGATCAAAGTCGTTCGCATTATCGAAGTATGGGGTCGTGTTCACAAGCTGTTCAAGGCAGCGACATGCGTGTACTTGGACAAACGTCGATTTGTCCCCGGTTGCGGCATTGCGGGCCTGCTTCCAAATGTCTCGGGCTGTAGCTTCGTCGACGGGAACTCCAGAGCCAACTACCACTTTCCGCAGCACGGAGAACATTGACCCACGACATCCTGTATGGTTGCTCGAGGCTTTGAGTAGCTTCAGTAAGCTTGACACAACAACTCCGGATTGCGCAAAGACACTCTCTCCGGCGACTGCGAATACCTCTCCCAGGCAGTGGGCTGCAGCGAACTTGGTTTTGAGTTCGGCCTCATTTTTGCTCGCATTCAGAGTCACCAGCAGGTCGGTCACTGTCTCGAAAAGAACCCCGCGATCGCCCTTGCTGAAGATAGCACCGAAGCAGCGTCCCAGGTTGTTGCGAATGACTCGGGTGATTGTTGGTGACGGCAGTGTGAGGATCTTGAACAGCTCCTTTTTCAAGAATTTCTGCTGCGACGATACCTGGGCCTTATCCAATCCTGATATATGCTGGACTAAGTCCGAGGTGAATGTGAGGAGGTAGAGGTCCTGTTGTTCGGAGGGGAGCGCATGAAGCTTGCTGATGTCGAGCTCCGCACGGGGAGCCGCATTGTCGGCGGCGGGAGTAGACGTAGCATTTTCGGATGTAGACATTGGGGTTCGGTCGTCCCACCTAGGGCGTCACCCATATGAGGGTTCTATATTGTATCGAAGGGTGAAGTTGGAGACAGGGTTGAAGGGGGAGGGGGTGAACGGTTGGCGACCAGGTGAGTCCAACTGGCAGTAGTTGGTCTACTCGCCGACCTTACAATACGTAGTTACGGTAGTCGATGGGCCGGGCCCCCTTAAGCGGGCACTTGGCCTCATTTCCGGGGGCGGTGGCGGAGAAACTGTTGGGCCGGCCCCGCTATCAGATTGAAAGATGCGGTTCGATTGTACTGTGCACTGCACTTGAAGATGCATTTGCTCCATGCCGCTCTGGGAGCAGAAATGGGGCTGCCCGCTAATCAATAATATTTCCCGGTCCACATCGCAATGGCCTCCTTAGTGAGCAGAAGCCTGATGCAGCAGCGCGCTGCTCGCATCAACCAGCTCACGTACACTACCTGCCGTAGCTTCACCAGCAGCTCACCGTGGTCTGCAGGACACAACCGTTGGTCTAAAATCAAGCACGATAAGGCGAAGGAAGACAAATTGAAAAGCAAGGAGCGTCAACTCATGAACAAGGAAATCAGCACGGCAATCCATTGTGAGAATTCCAGTCTGCTCAACCTTTTTACTGCAATGTCTATGCTAATTCGGTCTAGTGTGGGGACCCGATCCGGAGTACAATCCGCGCCTGACCCTTGCCCTCTCGAATGCGAAGCGAGCCGGAATTCCCAAGAATGTTATTGAAGCGGCTCTGGCGCGGGGAAAGGGCATAAGTTTGACGGGCGAGGCGCTGGAACAAGTCACTGTTGAGGCTATCCTGCCCCATAACGTCGCGGTCGTGATTGAATGCCAGACCGACTCAAAAGCCCGTCTATTGCAGGACGTTAGACATACTATCAAGAACGCTGGAGGGGCTGCTACCCCAACCATTTATCTGTTCGAGAAGAAAGGTAGAATTGTTTTCGAGAAAAAGGATGGCGTGGACCCAGATGATTATTTAGATCAGGCTATTGAAGCAGGCGCAACCGATATCACATCGGATGATGAAGGCCGCCTGATTGTCTTCACAGACCCCACGGAAACAAAGAGTGTGGGAGAATCGATGTCAAAAGCCATTGGACTTTCAGTCGAAGAACTAGAGATATTCTGGGACCCAAACAAGGACACTATGGTGGATATCACAGACGAAGAGCACGTGAGACAGATCGAGACTGTCATGGGCAAGCTTCGAGAGGAGCCATGCGTGAACGATATTTACATGAACACGCGCCAGGCGTTCTGATAGGTTGCGGGCCCTGGTTGAGGTGTCTACAGCCCCGGGCACTTAAAGAATTGTATAATAGAATTAGAATACCATACTAGATGTATCATAAATAGTATCACGAAGAAAGCTTACTTAGAGGCAGTCACCATCTAGTGTGCACTAATGACGTTGGAATCTAGAGCAATCATTCCTTTCTCAATGCTTTCATGGTGCTGCGCATCAAATTCCCAATCCCGACATTTCCTGTCGCATCCAACCAGTCGAGCATCCGAACACGGTACTCCTGCCAGGTCAGCTTCACGCCGCCCTCTTTTTCGAGGGCACTGAGTGCTTTCTGAGTCACGGGCCTTTGTAGTTTTGGTTTACTCTCGTCAATGCCGTTATCCTCCTCAATATCTGCAAAACATGCTGCCGACAAATTACATAGAGCGACATGGTGACTCAGAGAAAATACAGATGAGATGGTGAACAAGAAATTGGCTTCTCGCTTTTTGTCCCGTGAGTTATCGTTCATATTGCGGATAAACCGAGTGAGGGCGTTGACTGTGGGCGCCGGAATCAGGCAACCTAGTGCATTGGGGTCTTCCGAGTTGAGTCCGCGGTTGCGCCAAAGCAAATTGCAGATATCCATTATGTATCCATTGAATTGACCCACAAGGTCTGTCGGATATAGTGAGTCGGTCGAGTGAGGGACCTGCAACGCTGGAGATGTGAGGGAAGCTTCGAATGACGACTTGTAGGTTGCAAGGACTGAGCTCATGATCGATATAACCGAGCTAATCGGGGTGAATACAAGGGTGTAGACTGTTGGAGCGAGAGGAATCGTAAGACGGATGCTGCCATTCGACGATGCGTGCGAAAATAATTCGGCCAAGGTGCAGTAGAAATCAAGGACGGACAATGTAGCAGGCTTTGGCCTTTCACTTCCGCCGTCTGCTGTAGGCTGGATTGTAGACTCAAGACTCGACAAAGCCAAGAGTTCTGCGTGTGAGATAAGGCGGCCCAGTGGCTTATACTCATGGGCGCTGAAGGGTTGAGATCTCAGGCGCACACCCCATCGACGGATCAACAAAGAGTAGAAGTCTAGAAGAACCGATTGAGAGTGAGACGTGCCGTCTAATACTGAGGCCTCCACATGGTGTAAGAACTCCTGCCGCAGGGGTTCATATTCTTGGAGAGGTAAATATGATAGTAAATGGAGCACTTTCTCTTGATTGTCATAGCCGTTCCACAGAAGGACATGTTGTTGCAGGAATGAGAGCAAGGCGTGGGGTATTTCCTGTGGTCGAGTTAGTATACACGATAGACGAAACTGGGCCGGAAGCCATACCTTTGTATATTGCGCATAGTTCAGTGCAAGGTTTAGAATGTATCCGAGCGACTCTAGCCCTTCTTGATCATGATTCTGGATGCGCTCTAATTGACCATCAAGGAAGCCTTTCAGCCAATCATTCAGACGTTGGTGTGCAGCCTCGGGCTGAGCCAGAAAGAGATACTTCTGAGCCAAAGCGTCTCCCATCATGGATATTATCTGGTTAGGGAGTTCAATGCGATCAAGTCTTTCGACAAAGTGTTCCACACTGCGCAACTCCTCCAACGCGGTATGGTATAATGAAACGCGCGATGTTTGGACATCAGGCACAATAACCTCCATTTTCCCTCGCTTGACGAGTCCGCGATGCACTACCTGGAAATTTGACGGCTGAGTAGCCTGAAGCTTCTCCAAATGCGTTTCTTGGACCTGTCTCACGTGAGCTGTCCACTCAGGATCAGGGTGTTTAAAGAACAATGCCTTTCGCCCTGAAGGCCCAAAATCGCCCACAATGACATCCGGGCAGTAGTTCTTGAAAGCCCTGAGTAGAGTAAGGAGCTCTTTATCGTCACCCCCAGAAGCACCGAGAAGCTCCATCAGTGCCTGGATCCTGAAAGGTTTGACATGTTTGCGCCTGGTGATAAGCGAGAGCAGGTGGCACAGAGGCTTTCGCAAGCTTATCATGTCAAGATGGTTGAAGAGTACCGCATAGAGCTTTGACAGGTGGGACCTATCATCCAGAAAATCGTATACAAGAATCAGCCATCGCAGAAGCAGAGCCTGCGTCGCCGGACTGGGCTTTGTCTTGGCAGGTCCTAGGCAGCATACAACTTGGGTAACGATCTTTGAGGATATCCGTTCTTGCGGGTATAAGTTCTTGACCAGAGTGGTAATTGTTCCTTGATCAAGATGGTTGCTCTTGGTGAGGACTTTAATAAGTCGTTCGAGGCCAAGCCGAGAAATCCCGCTCTCGTAGGCGCGTGTAGCTATTGTTTTGGCCAGCTGGCCAGCATCCGTGTATCGCTGCTTCGAGGGAATAAAAGCAACTGATCGGAGTTAAAGATCCAAAGCTTCAAGGGAATTGGGTGCCAGGGGACTTACCAGCTTCAAAATGCTCAATCGCATCCTGTAGGCTAGTTGGCGCGACGTCGGAGCCTGAATGGACTATTAACACCGATAGTCAACCAAAGTCAGGTTCTTGACAAACCTCTGTCCGAGTCCGACGACATCGTAGTCATTTATTTTTCTTATCGATCCGAGCGAATGTCTTCAGTGTAATTCTAATGCAAAATCTCCTAGCGCATATCAGGCTGCACCGACGCCTTGTTGTTCTAGATCATCCAAGTCGCGCGCGAATTCGAACTTGTCGCGTCAACTGCACGATACTTGACTGATTTGCCACAAAGAACAAACAGCGATAATAACACCCACTACTCTCGACTAGAGTCCCGTCTATGGTTTCTCTTGCGTATGCAGGCTTTGATTGCCAATAAACTGGGTCGCACTCGCAGATCTGGAAGAGAGGCGCGGGAATTCGGAGTTGGGCAAACTTTACCAGATTTGGCGACCAACTGGCGAGCGTTCAGCTCCATGTCTCTCAACAACGGCGCACACTACAGCACTTGTCTAGAGGCCAAGAATCGCATTAGACTCAGAAAGAGATTCAGTGTGTTGAGTCATAAGAAAAATTTACTATTTTTGTTATATAGATCGCCGAGCTCATTCTCCGGGTACAATGCAAATCGAAACATTACGGACCGCGTCGGCTCAATACATTTCTATATTCAGAAGACGCCACGTGCCATTGTGTGGGGCGATTGATGGTTTAGAGATCCATGAGAATATGTTGACTAAGATAGACTCCTCTGCCATGCAATCAGGATGCTCCCAAGCACGTTTCCTTTATTGGAACACTCGCAGACTCATGACAAGCATCACCCTACTTTCTTTTCTTTGCCGCCTCCTTAGACTTCTGGTTGCCAGATGCGGTAGCTGACGCTTCAACCTTGGGCTTCTCAGCCGGGGCAGCTTCGTCCTCATCCTCACTGTCTCCTCCCTGGCCGAACTCGTTGACACGTGTGTAGTCGACCTTGTACTTCCAGCCCTGGTAAAGCCAGACAAAGAAAATCACATCGTCTCTAAGTGTGGCGAGTCTATGAAGCCATGGCATCTTGACAGTGAATGCGAAAAGGTCATCGATAAAAGTATTGAGGAACTTGTACATCAGCGCCTTGCCGGGCATGTGAGCGACAGACTATCATTTTGTTAGCAATGGAGACACGCCGATTCCACCCGGACTATTTACTGACCTTCAGTCTGTAGTTGATATACAGACTAGGAACCATCATCAGGAAGCCGTACGCGTAGACGCTTCCAACGAGGGTCTCAATGACATAGGAATACCATGACTTGTGAGTGTTGTAGATCAGGCTGTAGGCTGCGTATGCTGCGAGAAGAGGCACGGCGATGATGTAGAGGTAACGGAACGCGATCTCGTCATATTCCTTCGTCTTCTGCTCGGTCTCGCTGAGCTTATGTTTGTCCTCGAAGACCACCACGTAAGGTAGGAAGGAAAAGAACGATCCAGCTGGCGGCGGGCGCAGGCGCACGTCTACAGTTTTCGTAATTTTCCACGCCTCAAGCAATATACCGAAGCCTTGACTGGCAAGGATCATCCAGGACGTATTCTCGCTGTTATCCATCAGATAGAGGAAGATAACAGCTTGCATGAACACATTGGCCAGGATAGTGCGGACGGAAGTGCCGACGACATCCTTCTTCTTACGCCAGTGAGACTGCAGATCCAACCATTAGTAATGTCTCCACTGAATGACTCCGCCTAAGCATGGGTTACGCATAACCTACAATGTCGTTCTTAAACGCGAGAGTTTCGAAAACCATGTGGAGAATGGTGACCACACCAGTGGTTCCCAGAAGCCAGATGTTCGTGTCCAATAGTACTTCCTTGATCATTTCAAACTCGGAGCCATCGCTGCCGCCCGGAGCAGCGTTTCCAAAGGCAGCCTGCCGGGCGGTCTCCTTAGCGTTGGCATCAAGACTGGCCATCATGTTGAATTTCCAATTTTGCAGATTGTTGAGGGTGATGCGCAAAGGGACAGTGTCAACAGTCGAGTTAAGCTCCATCATATGGGTCTTGAGCTGCCAGAATGTGTTGAGGAAAACAATTGGGTAGTACCACCCGTTCTGTCCGGTGGCATCCCTCGCACCGCTGGATTCCAGCTGCATGTGGTGTCTGATGGCAGGATGAACTTGACGATACTTCTGGGCCCCGGAGTCAGGAATGAAAGAAACTGTGAAGTTGGGATGATAAAACGACGCGATTGACACATTTGGGGTGTCATCGACATCTTCCTCTGCAGCTTGGTCGTTAGAGGCAAGCAGGCTCTTGAGCTTCTTGGCCTTCTTCTTAGGGAGGTACTGGTTCAACGGGCGATAGAAGTGAACTGCACTATCCGTGCTATAGTCCTTTGCTGCAGGATCAAGTTGATGTCCACTCAGCCCAACAAAGAAGTGTGCCCAGAGTGTACCGTTGCGCTGAACTTCCTTCGGAACCTTAATGGTCGTATCAATTTCCCTGGTGTCGCTGTAATTACCGAGAGTGAAATTCCTCTCTTCCAAGACAAGTGAGCCAGACGGGAGAGTCTTGAGGTTTGGCACAGCGATGGAAGGAGAGACATAGATATTCATGTCGAGAGAACTATCGGTAGGCCAGATTGGCGAGACGAGGTCAGGGATGTGGCTGTAGTTGGGGATCTGGCTGCGAGGCGGACGAGCAGCAAAACTGGGCACGTCATTTGACTTTGCGCCAGAGACAGTGGTTTCCTGATTGCCGCCCATGAACTGGCCCATGATGAACTTGGCGAACATAAAGACAGCCAGGCCCTGAAGGACGCCTCTAAGGCCGGACTAGAAAGCAGAAACCAAGGTGTCAGCCACTGGGAGTTGAATCAATGCAGAAAGATGCGGCATGTACTCACGCCTAGCCCCTCCTCCTCCCTACGTTGTCTTTGTTCAGGCATTTTTGACCGGCTGTTATCGCACCTGGTCAGCAGAACAAGAACGAGGTGGGGAAGGGGAGAAGGGGAGAAGGTAAGAAAAGGCCACGCGCGAAGGACGGCGGCGGAGGCAAGCGATGGCCGGCCCAGAATGGCCGGGTGTTTTTGCGGGTCCGTCTTATCGCCGGGCGGGCTACGAGCATGACATACTCAGTGGGCATAAATCGGGTCTTGCCGACCGACCAGCTACAATCTCCATCTACTCCGTACTATCACCGCCGCACCGGAGATCGCACGCAACCCCGCGCAAAGAGATTCCGCCCCACGTTACGAAAACCAAGTAAACCCTGTTTACAACTGGGGTCTACGACGTGGTATTGCAGGGCGTCTCGTCGCGCAATTCGACATGCTGGGCTTTCGAATGTCGGCCTAAACTCCAATGACGGACAATCATCCTTCTCCCGATTACTCCCGCCCTCAGTTTCCTGCCCATCATGAGCCACGGGTATGGGTGATCACGGCTGGAGACTCGCCTATCGGGATATCAGTTACTCGCCAGATTCTCAAGCATGGTGACTGCGCTCTGGTAGGACGGGCGTACTCAGAGTCAGATCGAGACGAATGTCGTCGCGATGGCTTCGACGCATTTCTGGCCGAGATCGAGAGCCACAGCGACGAGGGATGGGGGCAGCGATTTATGGCTGTTCCCCTCGATATAAGGTGCGCGCGGTCAATTTTATTCGCTTCGTTCACTATTAGGTATGGCGCATGCTTACATCCATCTCGCAGAATGGTCGGTGAATGCCAAGCAGTGGTCGCGCAGGCCGTTGCGACATTCGGGAGAGTAGACATTCTCCTTTGCTGCACAAGTCAAGGTACGTCAGCCAACACGCCCGACCTCACATCCAGTGCATCTCCCGCTAACCAACTACATAGCCCTCATTGGTACAGTGGAAGAGCTAGCAGCTTCCCAACAGACCTTGAACTTGGTTCGGGATCAGTTCGAGATCAACTATTTCGGCCCCTTGAACATCATCAAGGCGACACTTCCCCATATGCGTAGACAAAAGTCAGGGCATATCATGATTCTTTCTGGCATAAGTAAGAGCTTGCACAAGCCCCGCGAAACTGAGCATCCACACTAACAGCAAGCAGCTGCTCACATCGGCACACCGGGCTTAGGAATGTACTGCGCTGCAGGCTGGGCTCTTGAGGGCTTTTGCGATGTAAGAGTGTTTCTCTGGATACGGAATACATAATCGTCGCTAATGTTGTCACCACTTTCTAGAGTCTCGCATACGAGATAGCCCCCTTCAATGTCAAACTTACCATTTTCCAGTGCAGCATTGAAATCGGAATCCTGACCAATCTGGTTACAAGTGTACCTCCAATCACCCCCGTCTACTCTTCCTCAGTCAACCATGCGCCGTTGTTCCGCGGGATCTTGAATCGTCTCGTCTCTCGCCTGCCTAACCATGATGCTCGTAACACGGGTCTAGCAAATGGCTCGGTCAGCTCCCACCGAAGTAATCCTTTCGAAGACGGTCCGTTTTCTGCGCCAGATGTCATCTCCACGTACCCTCCGCTCAGCTCTGCGCACATGGAAGTCCTGTTTACCGAGACCGTGTATGCTATAACGGCAATTGGGGGCCATGAAAACCCACCCTCGCGACATATTGTGGGCCAGGAGGGTGTTGCTAGTGTAAAGGAAAAGTTGAAGACGGTCAGCGAAGAACTCGAGGACTTCATTCAATCTAGCTTTGCTGTTGACTATGCGGCCGATGATACTAGCCGGATACCCAAGGATGACGGCATGGGCACTGGTCAGGAAGCAACCTGAAGCAAGTTCATGAATCAATTAATAAAGCATGGCGACATGTTGTCAGCCAGCCAATCTCATCCGATTTCTACTATCCTAGACTAGTCCAATGACAGGCTGTGTTTAGATCGAATTCACCCAGGCTCGGTCGAAACGGTACCTACATCAATTATGTTGATGTTCCCTTCTTGTTCTCGCGCACAAACCAGGCTTGTCTGACTTCCCACAAGCTCCCTATGTCCTGGTTGTTTCTGTGAGCTCGGAACTCCTTCCAAGCATTACCATTTGGCACCTTCTTGATCCGCCCATCTATTTCTATGATTTTCGAGGCCAATGCATTGAGTCCCTGGATGTTGGAGACTATAATCTCCTTAGCGTCTTGAGCGTGGTCTGTAGGCAGTGCCGCGGTTGGATTTGGGCTATCCTGGTTGGAATCTGGTTTGGGAGGCGGCTGATCCGTAAATGCCTGGATTTCCATGTCTTTCGGGTCTAGATTACCATTTGTAGTGCTGGTTTGAGACTCCGAACACTGAGGTTTGCCCTCAGAAAGTGAACTTTCCGTAGGTGTTTGATCTTCCATATTGTTCAAACCCAGGTTGTCAGTCGCATTGGTGTTCGGAGACTCCAAGCGCTGCCTCTTGCTGTCAGGGAGCTCAGAATCTGACGCGCGTTTATGGTGAGAGATAGCCTCAGTCTTTTCGGCTTTCAGCTCCGATCCTGTGTTTGTCCCACCGGCCCGCTGTCGTTCATTTGCTTCGGTGGTTTCTGTGTCAACCTTTGAGTTCTCTCCATTTATTGGGCTCATCGAACCTATAGCGGAATCCGGCGCAGAGGAAAGGAAGACACGCTGCCCCGGCGGGACGGCGACGGTCAAGTCTGCGCTCTCAATCTTCACGATCTGGCAAGGGGTTAGCAACCCGGATTTCCTCTATGCGACCAAGGAAAGGCACCAGGAGGCTTCACATACCCTAGCTTCCTTCTCCACAAGGACCTTCTGATTGCCTGTGGAGAAAACCCGGGAATACTTCAAGATATCGCCTTCACAGATCACTCCGTGATCAGTGAGCATCTTCAGTTTGACCTGGGAGCTCTGTCCAGCCACCAGCCTCCGGTCGACTTTCTGTTTCTGGCCCCAGAACTCCTCGAACTCCTCCTCCTTGAACCGATCAAACTTCCCAGCCGCCCTCTCTTCGACGGCTTTCTCCGCCTGGCGCTGCCATTCCGGATGGTAGCGACCGTGCTGGAGATCCAGCTGGAATTGGCGGATGCCGTCGCGCCAATTATTCGAGTAGCGGAGAAAGGACTCCGGTGGTGGGGGGATCTTTGCGTCTGGGTCGCCAGCTTGAGGGTAAGGGTTCGGGTGCGCGTTGTCGGGAAGGAGTTTGAGAATCTCCTCCTTCTCACTCTCTTCCAGACATGTCCAGGCTTCAGGATGGCGAAGCAATTTCTAGAATATAGATCGCAATTAGTCTCCCCATCCACCAATCAAAGTACCAAGTAACCTCCTCGTGGGGGGGGGGGGGGGGGGGGGGGGTTGTTCATTTTTTTTTTTTTTTTTTTTTTTTTTTTTTTTTTTTTTTTTTTTTTTTTTTTTTTAGCCAACCAGCCGCGACTTCGGGCTAGTCATCAGGTGCTCCTCACTCCATTGTTTGTTCGCGGCTGCCCGCCTCGGATTCCGCTTCGGTCTGGCGTTTGTCGATGACATCGCACAGCTGCTGCTATTATTAGGTTCGCCCGGGTTGCGCTGTGGCTCCTCCGCCTTCGAAGATCGATTTGTTCGGCTCCTGAAACATCACTTCTGGTTCAGCATTGCCAATAAGAATAATGGTCTTTCCCTCTTCCCACAGATTCAGTCGATCCAACCGAATTGCAACCTTCAGGCGCGCGCGCATGACAGACAATCAATCCAGCGGACGGACGGACTGGTGGTCGGTCGTACCTCGTCACTCGCTGACACTCCGAATTGCCGGCGTCGACCGCCTTGCGCTTTGGGGCCATTGTTCCGCGGCCTGGCCTGGCTGGGCCAGATAAGTCGGAGTAGAACAGCGATAACTGGTGTCTATAACAGTGTCACTGACGCAGCAGTTTAGCTTGTTTTTCTTCCTTTGAAAGAAAATCAACTTTGAATATCTCACGTTCAAGATGGTCAGGTCAACTCAAATCGCCAGAATCGATGGTATGCTTGGAATGTTACTGCTGCTGTTACGGGGAGAGGGGTGTGTGTCCGCAGCTTGCGCTAATGTTTGGAGACAGGCTTGATGTTGGCAGCGTCGGTGGATGATGAACAGGTCAGTTAGTCGGCGGAGCGCTTGCAAGTGAATTGCAAGTGAATGTGAAACACAATGAGATCGTCACTAACACAGAGCGCTTTCTTTCCTTGCACAGTCAGAGGTGGAACTGTCAGAGATCAAGTCTCAGGCCAAGATGATTTTCCGTCGCTTGAACCGCAATTCAGAGCCGCAGGCGAGCATTGAATCCGGCCAGTTCAGTCTACAGTAAGGACAGAGTGAATGTTTTCGGGCCCAGCTTATGTGCTCACTCCCCGGCTCATTATCTAGCTATATCATCCAAGACGATATCTGCTTCCTCTGCATATGCGATCGCTCCTACCCCCGCAAGCTTGCGTTCACTTATCTCGCCGACTTGGCGACCGAATTCACCACCACCTACTCGCCGACACAGTACCAATCCCCCACCCTGCGACCGTACGCCTTTGTGGAGTTTGATACCTTCATTCAGCGGACCAAGAAGCTTTACCAGGACAGTCGTGCGTCGGCGAACCTGGACCGGTTGAATGACGAACTCCGGGATGTGACAAAAGTGATGACCAAGAACATCGAGGATCTACTGTACCGTGGTGATAGCTTGGAACGCATGGGAGAGTTGTCCGGCCGTCTTCGGGAAGACAGCAAGAAGTACAGGAAAGCGGCTGTCCGCATCAACTGGGAGCTGCTTGTCAAGCAGGTGAGTACAAACGTGCTCCCATGACACAAAGAGAGTGCCGCTAACCGTTTTCCATAGTACGGCCCCTTCGC